CAAAAGGCAAACCAAACGATACGAATGCCGAAGCAAAGCGTGTGTGTAACATAAATGCAAAACGTGCAAATCAAGCAAAGTGTGCAAAATAAGCAAGCCAAAAAAAAAAAAAGAGAGAGAGGGAAAACATAAATACAAAACACAAAACAGTCGTGTCGGCAAACAACGAGAAAATACGGCAGAGAGAGAGAGCGAGAGTCCAAATAAATCGAGAGAACGCCGGTCGAGCGCTCACACTTGTACATTTACACTCTCATAGCGAGAGAGCGCGAGAGAGTTCTAGCAATAACGCTGCTGCTATGGCAGCTGATTTTTAAAATTTTGCCGGTAAGCGTGTCAGCTGTTTAACGACGGCGACTGCGACATCGGCGTCAGCGTCAGCGTCAACGTTAGCGGCAGCAGCAGCAGCGACGTTTTCTCACTGTTACGTTGCCATGTTAGCCACGGCAGCAACAACGACAACAGCAGCAGCCTCTGCGAGTAACGCCGCACGCAAACGCAGCCGCAGCACCAGCAACAACAACAGCAACAAGAGAAGCGCAGGCAGCGGCGCCGCTGGTCGCAAGCTAACCAAGAGCGTGAGTGTTGTTATTTTTTTTCTTTTCGTTTTGTGTGTGTGTTTCTCTTTGTTTACATTAGCGGCGCTTCGTGCACGTGCTGATGCTTTCTGCTGCTGTGCGCCCAGTATACATTTGCTTAACAGGGGTCTGTTAAACGATTGGGGACACAACCAATGTTAACCCATTGATTGCCCTGTAAGGAAATTAACAGAGAATTTACATCTTCTAAAGAGAAATTAACACACAAACAACTTTATTATTATTTCTATTTTACTTTTGTTTACAGCTTAAATATTTCTCTCTTTGCCAAAGTGTAAATAGAAATAATGAAGTACACAAACCAATCTAATTGGGTTAATGACGCAAATAAGTAAATAATAAAAATTATAGATGTTTACAAATAATCTATGTAGGTCTTCAATATCATAATATTGCTGACTGTTGGGCTATAATGTTTCCATCATAAATTTTTCAAAGCGCGTAGCGTATTAAATCAATGACAATGACAACGACAACATCGAAAAAAAATCCAACTAAATAAAAATGCGAAATAAAAAAATACATAAATTAATTATTCGATGGTGGCTCTGCTCTGCCTCTGCCATGCGTGTTTTCAAACGTTCATTGCCGCTTCCCATTCATTCGTTGCAACGACTCGTGTCTGTTCGGCTCGCTGTCGTTCAACACGACGTCGGAATCGCACGCTAAAAATAAACGGACATAGTTTTTTTTTTCTTTCTGTGTTGTGGGTAAGCAATGAAAACGAAAATTTGCGTGACGTCTCTCGACCTTGACTCATCGATGTGAACTGTTAAACTGTGGCTACGACGGCGACTGTTGTTGCCTGGTGTTGCGCGACGGCGTTGCCAGACGGCTGCGATTGTTATGGCTGTTGTGTGTTGGATGGCAGCCCTAATGTCAACGTCTTGCCTCGTTGATGGCGACAACCAGTTTTTAAACACATACAAATGCACAGATATATACATATTATATGTTTGTATGTGTTTTGTATTTGCAATAAGCGTTATCACAACACGTTGCCAAAAGAAAAAAAACTTGTTCATTGCATGCATGGAGTTGTGCTGCGTTGCTAGAGCTAACTTAGCAAAAAAAAAAAAAAAAAACTGCTGCCCGAAAGCATTTGAAAAATCACCAAATATGCAACGGTTTTCGAGCTGCATTGGAATGCACTCGCAGTCGTAATAGTACTCTCTCACTCGCTCGCACAAACGTACTTATGTATGTATGTACATCTGTGCATTCGCAGTCACAGTCGCAGCTGCAGCTGCAGCAGCAGCAATTGCTGTCGTCACACACACACACAAGTACCCACATGCACAGATGGTGCCAATAAGAAGTGCATACATACGTTATGCTTGTCACTGCCACACCCTCGCACACTGCCCCGTACCCTCATATAAACACACATACACATGCACACGTATAGAAGTATTCATTGAAGAGAGAGGGACGTTGCTCACGCTCGAATTTGGTTTTGTCTCGGCTCGTTCTCGCTACGTCTACATCTGCGACTCGCGGGCCTTTTCGCACGCTTTTGCTTTTGTAGCTCCCATCAACAACATCAACATCATCATAGATTTATCTCATTCGCGCGCACGTGAGTGGAGCAAGCCGAAAAATTAAGTCGTCTTCGTCGTCGTCGCCCATTTCGTTTGCATTTTGGGCTCAGCTCACAAAGTTTGTTATCATTTGTTTCCTTCCTAGCTCTTTGTCCGTTGTTAGTGTTGCCAATTTGGCCAGCTACAACTTTTGTGTGAGTGTATTTGCGTTTGCATTTGCTCATTTTTTCTTATACATGATTGGCAACACTTTTTCCAACGCGCTTCCATCTTCCGCTCTCACTCTCAACAAGGCAACGGGAAACGTGAAGCGGGCAGCAACGTCGCGACGTCCAGCGCCCAGCTGTTGTTATGTTCAGCAACCGCAAACAACGCTGCGACGACAACATAAAGTTAGCTTCCTTCCTTTTTAACGCTATTTGGAGCTAAAAGTGACTGCGGCCCTAACAGAACTGTTGGCAGCACGAACAGGATTAAACTGTTATATGATGAGAAAAAAACTACTTAAATGTACATACTTAAACCGAATTACAAGAACTCTATAGTATTCATGCTTAGAACATTTGTAGATAATAATACATTTTATTTAAATTTTTTAAGAATCGACTTACTCAAGTATTTCCTGTGAGCCGAAGATATGTGTTTATTAATTCCTCAGCTAGCGCCC